GGGGGGGGGGGGGGGGCAGGCCGGGCCACAGCCCCTCCTGTCTCCTCCTGCCGCAGACCAGACCGCCTTCAACCAGAACAAGAGTGAGCCTTTCAGTTTCTTTTCTTTTCTTTTTTTTTTCCTTTTTTGTCTTTTTTCGTGACCGGCAACGGATCGCAACCCTCGGTGTTGTGCCCGCACCTCGCTCAGCCAATGAGCGGCCGGTCTGTATGTGGGATCTGAACCCTTGGCGGGAGCGCCGGCGTGCTCCCAAGCAGCGCACTGTAGCAGTGCGCCACCGGGCTGGCCCAGGCTTTCAGTTTCTACACGGTCCCCCGCAGCACAGACAGGGACTAGGTGCCCCTCCCTGCCTTGGCCGGGAGCGCCGGCGCGCTCCCAAGCAGCGCACTGTAGCAGTGCGCCACCGGGCCGGCCCAGCCTTTCAGTTTCTACACGGTCCCCCGCAGCACAGACAGGGACTAGGTGCCCCTCCCTGCCTTGGCTTTCCTCTCTGCACCTGACTGACCGCATCCTAGTTTCCGAATTGTGGAATGAGGTTTAAAAGCCCCAGGGTGAGAGACAATGATGCCCCCTTACATTCCCATGACCCTGTGAGTGGCCCAGGACACTCAGTTCTCTCGGCAGCCCTTGGGGAGGCGAGGACAAGGTCAGGAAGGGCAGAAACCCTTCTTCTGGGCCCAAATCCTACACAGTTGATGCTTTATGTGGGGGCCAGGGAAGGTCTCCTCCAAAATATAAGGGGGGGCCGGCCCGTGGCTCACTCGGGAGAGTGTGGTGCTGATAACACCAAGGCCCCGGGTTCAGATCCCATATAGGGATGGCCGGTTCGCTCACTGGCTGAGCATGGTGCCGACAAAATAAAAGGGGCAGTTTGTAACAACGCAGCCAATGATTTAACCCAGCAGCCTGCAGGCCAAACCCCACCGAGGCCTACTTTTGTAAATAAAGTTTTATTGACACACCAGCACACTCACTCATTAAATATTGCCCAAGGCTGCTTCCCTGACCAGGGCAGAGCTGAGCAGTTGACCTGCGTGCAAAGCCTAAATTGTGTACTCTCTGCCCTTTGCAGAAACCGCCTGCCAGTCTCATGGCCGAGAGCGCATGCGTGCATGTGTGGGGATGCTGGTCAGAACTCACTCCATCCTTGTGGCCTTTGGGGCTCTGGCTTCAATAGTTACAATTCTCCCCCTGCACTAATCACTCAGCAACTGAGGGAAGGACAGGAACAGAACACTATGCTTGAGATAAGGGGAGGGACACCAGCAACCCCAGAGATGATCAAGAGGCGGCTGTGGAGTGCCTGGGAATCTTGCACGTCCACAGCCTTTCTCTCTTTGACACAGCTCCACTTTTGTCCCCAAGTCCCTTATAAGCCACTACTCTCCCCCACCCCTGGGTGTGGAGAAAGCAGCTGCACAGCACTTGGATGGATCAAACTTCCACCCAATCCCTGTAAGCAACCACTCCTAATAACAACAATAACCAAACTCCTTGTAAACCATACACAGCTGCCTGCTTTGTTCTTTGGTTTCAAGACACCTTCTCAGCGTGGTGGGCATCACAGTGTTAGCTCATGCGTGGACAGGGCTGGGCTGAGCACGTTTATGGGTGGGGGTGCTATCACCTGGTTTCTCCAGGGCTGAAAAAAAAGGAGCTAAAAAACATCGCCCTGCCTTCCTGCAGAGGCAGCTTTTTGTCTTTACGACTTTTAAAGTCATCACCACCACATGCTGCCACCTGCTTGAGGAAGGGCTCCCCCAACCCTGTTGTAGCCCTGAGGGGTTCTGCAGAGTGTGTATTAGTGGCTGCACTGCACAAAATTAGGGCCACTTAAAGATGAGGCCTTCATGGGACTTTCAAGAAGAGTCTCCCGGGGAACTGGAAAAAGGAGGCTGTATGGTGAAAGGCAGGCTGCGACCCCTGAACGATCACCAGTCCAAGCCCCCCAGGCCTGCGATCTAATCCTCATGGTGGCTCCCTGGTGCCCTGCAGGTGGGACTCGGGGGCTCCCTGTGTGAAAACCCCGGTGCTCTATTCCTCTCACCTCCCACAGGTGTATGTTTTCTGCAATTCCCGCCAGGACGTAGAGGCCGTTGGGTGCCGTGGTCAGACAGGTGACAGGCCCAGGGCACATAATCTTCTGTTGGAGCTGGTCCTAGGGACACACAACAGCCCTTGTGAGCTTTGTGCGGAACACACAAGCCCCTACGGCAGTGGACAGGAAGGGGGAGAGGATGCCAGGGCAGCTGGTAAGTCCAGAGCACTAGACAGAGGAGTTGGGAACACTGAGCAAATCCATGGCCCAGCCAGCAAGTGTTCACACCCGAGAGCCCAATGCCAGCAGGCCTGCACACAACCCCGCCTCCCCTAACGTCCCCCCCGTGACCTCCAGCCTCAGTTGTTGTGTGTGGACCCAACCAAACAATGCCAGAGCATAGCGCTTGCCCCGAGAGATCTTAGCCGGGTGAGAGGGGCAGCGCGCAGCTTCAAGGGCTGCATTTTGGGGTTCCTGATAGAGAAATGGTAGACCCCGACGGTGAGGGTCAGTGACTTCTGTGGGGGGATAAATGCATGAGCCTCCTGGGCTCCCCCTCCAGGGGGCTCCCCCAGATCTCAGACCTTCTCCCTTCTCCGCTAAAACTACACGTCCCACAGAACCCCAAACTCCCTTTCAGCAAAGCTCCCGCGCCACACGCCCGAGCATGCGCACTTGCCCAGAGGGAACCCCAAGCCTGCCAGCCCTCCATGTGCGCGTGCGCACATCCGGCTGCGCAGAAACCCGCCCCCACCTCAGCCCGCGCTCCACTCGGCGCGTGCGCACAGCGCCTTAACGGGATCCCACGCACCCCGAAGACGCACGCCTCCCTCCTCCAAATCAGCCCCCAGTCCCGCGCATGCGCAAAGGGTCCCCCAACCGAGCCATCCCCACCCCCACTCCGGGCGCGGGCAGCCCCCCCGCGCCCTTCCCCGGCCTCAGTCTCGGGCGCCCTCCCCGCACTCCGTCTTATAGAGC